CGTAAACCAAAGGCAACTTGAAGTGCCCTAAAAGTGGTCAACTTCTCTGCAAATGGGTGATCAGCAGTTTCTGACTATAAGATCCCTTTGAGCCCCCAAAATTGAAGCACCTAAAATCACTAGTCACTTTTGAGATTTCTGACCTATAAGCACAGTGGGCTTGGTCCTTTACCAGTAAAATCAATGGAAGTTTAGACTTGAACCCTCAAATTCCAATCCTGGATCACTCACTGCAGTTGCTTCTCACAGGTTTGGGTCTGCAGGTGAAAAATTCAGGCAAAATGCCATGTTACATAAATGGCTTTCAGCATTTACCATATAACAGGATAAAATGGGTCCACAACTGATCTTAGCTGCAGCTGGCATTGCAGTTGATTTGCTTGAAATTCTTTTGCATTGACCAATTATTTTCCTTAATTATTTTGCTTAGAAGAGCCCTGAACTTTAAAAAGACAAAAACTATAACTTCACACAGTATTCAAGATGTGGGTGTACCATGGGATTGTATAATTGCATGATGGTGTTCTCTGCTCTGTTTTCTATTCCCAGCTTAATGATGCCCAGCATTCTTTTGGCTTTTTTGGTTGCAGCTGCATGTTGAGCCGTCATTTTTAGAGAACTGTCTGCAGTGACTAAGGTCTCTTTCCTCAGTTGTAACAGCTAATTCAGAGCTGAGCATTGCTCATGCATAGTTGAGGCTATTTTTCCCCATGCGCATTACCTTGCACTTGTCAGCATTGAAGTTCATCTGCCATTTTTTTTCTCACTCAGCTTGGTGAGATTTTTTCTGCAGCTCCTCTCAGCTTGGGACTTGACTGCTTGGAATAATTTGGTATCATCTGCAAAGTCTGAGGTTTCACTGAGCACTCCCATTTCTAGGTCATTGATAAAAATGCTAAACAGAATTGGGCCCAGCACAAATTCCTGTGGGACCCCACTTCTGACTTGCCTCTATCTTGAAAAGTGACCATTTAGCCCTATCCTTTGTTTCCTACCTTGTAACCAGCTTTCAATCCATGAATGAACGTTTCCTCCAATCCTGTAGCAGCACAGTTTTTCTAACAGCTGTTGGTGAGGGACCAGGTTGAAAGCTTTTTGAAAGTCCAAATACAGTATGTCAGCTGAATTCCCTTTGTCCACAGGCTTGTTAACATGTTCAAACAACTCCAGCAGTTTGGTGAAGCAGGATTTCCCTTTACAAAAATAACACCGACTCTTCCCCAGCAGATCATTTTTGTCCTTGTGACTGTTGATGTTATTTTTTATTATAGATTGCACCAACTTGCCAGGGATGGAATTGAGACTCACTGGGTGCGTCTACACAAGATGCCATTGGGAATAAACTGTGTGGCAATTTTACTGCGCACTAATGCCAGTTACTTACACATAAGGAAGTACTAAATGACTGCGCAGTAACAACTGCACAGTCTGCCGGACGTGTAGGCCAGCCACTGGTCTGTAGCTCCCAGGGTCACCGCTGGAGCCCGTTTTGAAGATTGGTGTTATGCTGGCAACCCGCCAGTTATCTGGCACAGAGTCTGTTTGTAAAGATAGGTTACATATTGTTGCCAGCAGTTTTGCAATTTCACCTCTGCGTTTCTTCAGAACTGTTGGGTGAATGACATGGGGTCCTGGTGACTTACTAGTGTTTATGGGTTTGTTCTGAAACGTTGTGTGTTGTCACTTCAGCGTGGTCCAACTCTTCAGACTCATCTACTAGATAGGATTGACCTGGCATGGGGATTTTCCCAGTATCTTCTGCAGTAAATGCCATTGCACAGATTTTGTTTATCATTGAGTTCACCTTTTACACCGTAGTCATTTAATGTTCCCAAAGATTGTCAGCTGAATTCCTGCTTCTGGTGTATTTAACAAGTTTTTATTATTAATTTTAGCATCTTTTTTTAGACTCGTCTCCAGTTCTTTTTTGCCTGTTTTATTTTGCTTTTACACTTGATCTGCCAAAGTTTGTGAACTTTCCTAATTTTCCTCATCTGGGCATTTTTTGAAGGATGCCTTTTTGCCTTGAATGGCCTTCTTAACTCTGCTATTAAACCATGTAGGGGCTTTATTGCCTTTTTGATTTGTAGTATACATTTTTCCTGAGCCTGTAATACAGTACTTTTAAACAACTTCCGAACTGCCTGCAGGCTTCTTTTTTGACTTTCTAACTCATTTCCTCACTTTTGTGTAATTTCCCTTCCCAAAGTATCTGTTGTCATGGTGGACATTTCTGGCTTCCTCCTTCCTCCTCGAGTGTTGAACGTGCTTGTGGTATGGTCACTATTACAGAATAGCTTCCCAGCTCATCTCTTCAACCAGGTCCTATGTGTTGCTCAGTATTAGGTTTAGAATTGCTTCTCCTTTTGTGAGCTCCAAGATGAGTTGTTTTAGAAAGCAGTCCTTTATCACATCCAGAAATCCCATCCCTCTCCCTGATGAGGTGTTTACCCAGTCTATGTGAGAATAGTTGAAATCTCCCATGATAATTACTTGTCCTAGTTTAGCAGCTTCTTTAATAGCCCTGAGGATATCATAATCCTCTTCACCTTCCTGATCAAGTGGTCAGTAGAATAACCTTACTTTTATATTATTTTTATTCAAGTATGGAATTTCTACCCACAGAGACTCTATGGTAGTTTACCTTTCATATATGATTTTTATGCTGTTCTTTTCTATACTTTCCTTAACAAAGAGTGCCATTCCTCTACCTGCATGTCCTACTCTGTTATTCCTGTATAGGTTGTAACCAGTGTCCCATTGATTATCACCTTTCACCAAGTCTCTGAGATGTCTACTATGTCAAAGTCACCATTTAATACCAGACATTCAAGTTTACCCATGTTATTTTTAAGCTTTTGGCGTTTATATAGCTGCACTTATAAATTTTGTCCTTGCTCACCTGCCTGTTACTGCTTGTGCTATTTGATTGGAATTCTAGATGATCTTACTATTGTATACAGTTATTTTGTATCTTCAGTAATACATAGCTGGTTGGATCATTGTGCTGAACAAGTAGTTATCTGTGGCTCAGTGCCTTGGGAGGAGGTCTCAGGTGGGTTCTCCAGGAGTCTCTCCTGGGTCTGGTATTGTTTAATATCTTCATTAATGATTTAGATCGGGGGATTGAGTGCGTGCTTAGCCAATTTGTAGATGGAACCAAGTTGGATGGAGCTGCAGACACATTGGAGGGCAGGGCTCAGATCCAGAATGGCTTAGATAGCCTGAACAAATGGTCTGCAGTCATTCAGATGACGTTCAGAAAGGACTAGTGGAAAGTCCTGAACTTGGGTCAGAATAATTACTTAAATACAGGCTGGAGAATGATTGGCTAGGCTACAGTACTGCAGAGAAAGACGAGGAGGTTACAGTAGACATACACTGCATATGGGTCAACAATGTCCCCTTTTGCTAAAAAAGCCCAATAGTATACCGGGCTGTATTAATGGAAGCGTCGACTGCAAATCAAAGGAAGTGTTTTTTCCACTCTATTCAGCATGGATGAAGCCTCACCTGGAGTCCTGTGTCTGGTTTGGGGCCCCACTCTTCAAGAAGGATGTCAGCATATTGTAAAGTGTCCAGCAGAGTGTGATGAAAATGATTAGAGGCCTGGGAGGCAAGACGTATGAGGAAAGGCTGAAAGAACTAGGGTTGTTTAATCCAGCACAGAGAACATTGAGGGTTTGGTAACAGTTTTCAAATACCTGAAGGGTGATTACAAAGAAGATGGAGATGGCCTTTTCTCTGTGGCCATAGGGGATAGAACTAGGAACAAAGGCATGGGTGACTGGTGCCTCCTGAGTCGGGGGGGCACATGCCCTCCTAGCGGCCAATCAGTGACGGGGGGGGGGCCCGTGGCCAATCTTGTCAACTGGGAGTGGGGCTCCACCCATGGCCAATCATGTCAAAGTGCAAGCTGCGCTCCCAGAAGTGCCAGCAGCGTACCTAGAAGTGGTAGCAGTGCTTCTCCTGGTGCCCCCACTCCCCAGCCAGCACTCACGGGGAGGCATAAGCACTCCTGCCTGCCCCTGCTGCCTGTCGCCTAAGCAGGAAGCGCTGGCTGTCAGGGGGTGCACCAGGCCTCTGAGGGGGTGCACTTGCACCCCTGTGCACCCCTACGCGTCACCACAGAACAAAGGTGTTAAGCTTCAACAGAGGAAATTTAGGTTGGAGATTAGGAGGAACTTTCTGAGTACAAGGGTGGTTAAGCACTGGAACAGGCTACTAGAAACATTGTAAAACCTCAATCCCATGAATTTTTCAAGCACAGGGTAGACAGACACTTGGCTGGGATGGTTGTTAGGGATGATCCTGCCACGAGCAGGGGGCTGGACCTTAGGGCTGCTTGCAGCCGTGAAAAAACACCCCCATGCACTTTACTTTAGACTCAGTGTGTTCCCGCACTCAGCCCAGTGCATGCCCAGAAGAGGCAGCACATTAGTTCATCCCGGCTTGGCAGTGTCTGTATAGATCAGGCACTTTAATAGGGCTTTTTTTGGCACTTCTATCTAAGAGTTGATTAAATCAGCTATTAGATAGAAGCACCAAAAAGCCCCGCTGAAGTGCCCGATATATGCAGACACTGCAGAGAGGTTGAACTTACGTGCTGTTACTTATGGCAAAGTGCATTTTTTCCCCCACATCTGGAAGCAGCCTGGTGACCTTGTGAGAGTTTTTCCAGTCCTACTTTCCCAGGATCCTGTGCCACAAGGGGGTACAAAAAGAGGGACTAAGAGTGAATTGTAAATTTGAGATATCTGTCTGTATACAAAGAGTTTAATGCAGTGAAGAAAATATTTCCTCCAGAACTGAGAATAGTGGTGGAAATTGCTTAGCACAAAGTATTCCAAGACGATGTGTTGAATTGCCTGTGAGCAATAAACAAGTCAAAACAACTTGAGGCATCTTTTGTCTTGCTAACAAAGATCACTGTTTTAAATGGTCAGAAAAGACCAGTATAACTTTTCCTAATACAATTTAAAATCTGTTTTTATATGTAGTTCCTGGGCTGACCGGGGTCCTTTTGGTGCTAGTTTTATTCCTAATGTTTACAGCTTCTACATATGCTATCAGGTAAGAATTATTTTAAATACTATGCTGAACAATATCATATGAGCAATTGCTTTCTCACACTGATTGAATGGAATGTTGAGCATTTGTAATAAGTATTCAAATAAGAGGTTAAAAAGTATCAAATTCCTTGTTTCCTATGGTGGTGAATTCTAAGTGCATTCAGTAATTCAGAATTCAGGTACATTTAGTAAAATCTGGGTAGTTTGTCACACCAAGGTGACTGGTAACGATAACCAGCCTTCTGTTAGTGACTAATTATGAGTAGTTTCCAGCTGTTTGTGAGCTGTGTTTTTCACAGCACATTGCAAGACAGTAAAGAATGATTTTTGGCATATAATGAAGAAAAAGTATGTTTAAAAAGTTCCAGTTGTGCTCATTCCGGTGTGTTATATGAGAATGATGGTGATACAGATAAATTTAATGTAGATTTTTAATTACAAAAATTCAGAGTGCTTGCTCTGTAAGAATGACATGATTATGATGGAGTTAAATAATCAATCAAAGAGTTTTGTTTTGCATTGTTATATGAACTCTTTACCAAAGTAGAAGGTAATTCTGCAACAGGGAATTGGAATATAGTTGACTGTCTATGTCTTGTTAAGCCAAGAAAAAGATTGCGTGCACCAGCTTGCTCGACAGGTGCTATGGTGGACCACAGTTGAGCTGACTAATTATCTGGAGTAGGTTCTATTGTGATATATTGCATGTCTAACGTGGAAACAGCTTACTATGCTTGGCAGATGCCAGGTTATGCAGCTTGTTTTGTGGAGAAATCAATAGGACTCTGGGAGAGAATAAGTACACCAACTAGTAAGACTAGCATGTAAGTTATCCCAGTACCTCATTAACCAGATTTCACTGTCCTCATTTTTGGAATAAATATTTCTAATGTAAATTTTCATAGCACTCATTTCTCTGGTCAGTTTGAAATTTAGGTGGCTTCACAATACGTGTTGTTTTATTCTCCCCCATTGCAGTGTAAAACATAGGAATTTGAGTAAGTACAGGGGAGAAGTAGTAAAGTTAATCACGTACAAAGTTCTGTCAAATGTAAAAAATTAGTAAAGTGAAAAAGAAATAAGAGGATAATACTTTTCCTGAACTTGTGGATGTTACCTGTAAGAACAAGTTGATAAAATATTCAGACAAATTTCTTTTAAGTAGGCTCTATCCCTTTAACAATCTAGTAAAAATTTAGTGTAAATATTTAATTAAATACATTGATCTTTTGTATTAACTCTTGCTGCATATTAATATTATTAATGGAAATGATGTGGGGTGAAGGGGGTAGAGAATGAGAGTACTCTTTCAGTTCAGACTCCCTGGTTAGGGACAGAAATTACACATAAACCAGTATAAGTGATTGGAAACTAGTTCAAATCTGTAACACAACAGAAGTTCAGTGCACATAAACTGCTTTCAAATTGGCTGAAACCAGTTTAAGATAAACCTGGGTGGATGTAATATCAGACAGACTTAACTAATTTAGGTTAAATCAGTTTATTGAAGTTCTGTCCCAGATCCCCGCCACATTCAAGTTAACTCACAACTGCGCAGCATCTTAGGGTGCTTAGTACCTCCCTCACAACCTGCCCCCTCCCCTTTGCAGGGTGCCTGGACTAGTCTTGGTCCAAGCTGGTCTGCTCCAGCTGAGCGGGGAGGCGTGCTCTAGCATCCCCCGGTTTTCTGGCCCAAGCCACTGCAGGCATGTGGATGCATTTCTGGAATCAAAAGTGAATGTTTGTTCACTTGCTTATCGGTCCAATCTATGCAGCTTAGACTAACCTGCGAAGATTGAATCAATTCAGCCTCAAGCTTTTTGATTGTCTGTACTTAGCCCTTGTTGGGAGCATTGTGGGCTTGATCTGGCTGTGTTTTCAGGCCCTGGTCTGGGACTGTGGTTGAACATGTACAAAAGTAAAGCAACAGGATGTTCGGTGCCCAGCAGGATCAAGCTCCAGGTCGGTAGCCTTCATAGCCTCAGATCTGATAATGTAAATGCTTATTATAGTCCTTCCAATATAAGGCATGCTTTTTAATACAGAACATTTCTTTAAAAATAGCTTGAAAAATGTTTATATGCCATTTGTCTTTAGGTTGATTGGTTTGATTTTCATTAAATTGAGAATCAGAAATTTTGGGTGTGTGTTAAATTGAAGGGTGTCTTGTATTTGAAGGAATCCATTAATAATTTGTGCAGCATCGGTCACATAGCAGAGATAATGGAATGGAGATTGCTTGTGTAATGTGCTAATGTATGTGGTCCACTGTTTGCAGGCTTTTAATTATATCAGGATCTTAAGGACATGGCTAGATCTAATGGAGGAGGGTAGTCCTATTGATGCCAATCAGGTATCTGTTTAAAGACCTGGTTGAAATAGTGCCCTTAACTAGATATTACTATTATTAGACCCTGATTCAGGAAATCTTTTAAACATGTACTTAATCACTTTTCCTGACACAGATGCTTTTCTTGAATTAGGACCTTAGCATGTAGTTGGGAGCTAAAGTGCTGAATTGCAATAGGATTATACTGCACCATCACTTGTTTCAAGATGAAATCTCAGACATAATTGTGCAGAATGTTAGCTGGGTGAAAGGCTTTGCTTTCAAAGTATAGCTCATTTCATAAACGAGGGGAAAAACCTACTTGGTCACTTAGTATTGTTGCAGCTGTGCAAGGTTTTGCCAAAAGCAAAATCTGTTTTCTCCAGTATAAGGCCAGTATCATTTAGGAAATAACAGTAGTGCTTTTAAATAAAAGATGGAAAACTTTGGAAAAAAATGGAAGTTGCAGACATTTTCTTGGAAATCAAGAGTACTTTTAAATTCCCTCACAATCATTTAATGAGCCAGGCAGCCAACAACCTGTCTTTCCAAGTCAGGAGGCCATGTGCTAATTACTGCCCATGTTTTTATTGTGGACTCTTGCCTCCAGTCTCTCTGCCCTAGTTCATGAAGAGCTCATCCATCTTCTCCTCCTTTCCCGCTAGCTAGTGTCAACTCTTCCTGAGTATATCATGTCAGAACAGGATTGAACCACTATTTTTTTTCTTTTCTAGGACTTCAAACTATGATATTTTTTGGTATACCCACAACCTTTTCTTTGTCTTCTATTTGCTGCTGATAATACATGTTTCTGGGTAAGTAACCGAATAAAACCACCTTTTCTTTAAGGACAGCCAAGCGGGCACTGCTTACAAGGATCTTAGGGTGGGCAGTGGAGAGGACTGCCATGTTGATGTCTTTCTATTGTGATCAGTCGTTCGCATGAAGCTTATGTTGTGGTTGGAGCATTGCGTGGTAGAACAAATGAGAACCAAATAGGGTTTTCAGGATTTTCACAAGTAAAAGCTGAACCTAAGCCCAGTCTCCATCCATTGGTAACTAAAATCTTGTCTAATTCAGTCCCTGCATTTGGCCTTTGGGAATGTGAAGTAAGGTTGTTCTCCCTTCCTTTGTCTCTACTTCTTGTCTGCAGTTCTGCTTACTGTTGAGAGAGATTAATCTTCAAGGCTATGGTCAACAGTTATTTTTCTCTCCTCAGCCATTTTACCTGTGAATTGTACAGGTGCGGAAGACCACACATGGTGCAAGGTTGTAGAGTGTCTCACCGATATGACTATTTTGCCAGATTCTTTGCTGATACTCATGGGCACAACTCCCCTACAAGTCAGAGCAGCTGCACCCATTTTTATCATAGATAAGGCCTATGTGCGAGACCAAAATTGGGTATAGGGAGGGAGAAGTGTACTTCAGCAAGGGTCATTTTCACATTCCAGCAAGTATCTATGAATCTGGGAGTGCAGGGATGTCTGTGTAAATACTGGGGATGTCTACACGTGCCCTCAACTGCACACTCGTTACTACACAGTCATTTAGTACCTGCTTTAGCAAGTACTAATCACTTACCTGTTATTCTTATGTCAGTCTAGTAAGATCCAAAAGTTATTCATAATTCAGTTATTCATAATTCAGTCATTTAGTACTTGCTTTAGCAGTAACAGCCATCACTGTGAAGTCCTGGAGGTGCAAGGGTCGTTTCCGACCCTACTGCACCACAGCAATGAGCCGTGATGCCGACACTACGGCGCAGCAGCTCTTTGCTATGGTGCAGTAGCATCAGCATCATGGCTTGTGCCTGCCATCTTATGTAGATGCGCCCACTGTGTTATATTGTCTGATGCTGAATTATGAATAACCATTGGATCTTACTAGACTGATGTAAGAATAACAGGTAAGTGTTTCAATAGAGCACTCAGTCAAATGAAATAAAAAAAGAGTTCAGAGCAATGAAAGGTCCTGTCATTCTTAACAGCTTGTGTATTTTTTGCTAGAACCTGTTCCATTTTGTTAAGGCTCTTGCCCAACATCTCCCTTTGCCATATGAAAGAACTAACAGGAGAAATTGGCAAGCCAAGGTTACATTTTGTACTGAATGTAAGGTGGGCAGTCCCCTTGGCAGAGCTCTCCTGTTGCAGACGAAATGGGGGAACTGGTGACAATTACTATGAGTGAAAGTAATTGAAAAAGAAAAACCCTAAGGAAATGAGTTTCCTTGTGTTTTATCAGTTATAGTAGCAAGGTGTTCCTCGTGACGTGTAGGCTCAATATTTTGAAAGATACTTATATTTTTAATTTACGGTTATTATTATTGCTAGTATTGTCATTGCACCTCTGAGACCTCACGATAGGCCAGGCCAAAAACCCCCAATGTTTACAGTCTGAATGTATGTAAGACAGGAGGTAGCAGATAGAAACAGCCCAGCAGCAAGGCTTGCCACCTTTTCCATGTTCTTAGTAAAAAGCTGAATTTCATTTAAAAAACATGTGGGCAGATTTTAGATGATACCTGAAGTGACTGCTTCCATTCTGCTCTTGTTGAAGTCTTGTGGGAGCTTTGCCATTTAGTTGCAGGGATGAAATAAAATGCTAAATAAATATTGAGAACAAGATAGAAAAATATTAGTTTTCTGTGCTTCCTGTGGATTCACATTAAAATAATAGAAGTTAATGATCAGACGAGGGAAATTCGATCTTTCTTAGGAAGATATATTCCATTTCCTTACAGATCTTCTCTTAGTATATCTGCTGTCTTTCCAGTTTTTTGGTAATTTTACTTAATGAAAAAATGGGACTTCCAGCTTTAGGAGTCTGTTTCATAACTAAGTCTATTGTGCTGTCAGGAAAGAGTAATACTGAATAAATGGAAGATTTGGAAATTAATGATATAAGATTGTAGTTCAGTTTAAAACTTTTGAATTCATAGCATATCATTGAAGATGCCAAGATGGAAATGGCACGTATTTCAAAGACTATTTCCAACAAGGTCCAGTAGTTTTTGATTAATCAATAATACATAAATATTATTTAATTTGTAGATATCCCAAATTGGATAAATTGCCATATGGACCATTGACAGTGTCATAAAATTATCTTCTTTTGATCCTGAAATCTTAATGAGCCGCCAAATGGTGTTCTTTGGGTTTTCCACCTTTTATTTTGTTAGTATGTCTCTAGTCATAATTTCTACCATGAGCATATTATGAATGAGCAGATTGCTTTTTATCAAATAGCAGATTCATTCATTAATTGCAAGGTGAAGTGGAACCACAGGAGGCCTGTGCATGACAGCTTGCAGTGAATTATTTTCAAATTTTAATTTTAAAATTAAATTTTAAATTCTTGTCCTGGTTCTCCCTGTGACACTTGGCATCTGCTTTGTTTGATTAAGTCAAGGATGCTTGGATCCCATTCCATATATAGGTTTACCTCATCACTATGATGTTTGATACAGGAAAGAGCCATCATTTGGCCGTCAACTCTTTGATGGTTGTCAATCCTTGTGCTCTGGTCTGTCTACTTAAACGGCTTCTATTTGTATAGTATCTGAGCTTCTTATAGTGATTGATGTATTTATTACAAGGTTTTGTGAGAGAGTGCAATATTCTTATCACCATTTTACAGATGGGGAACTGAGGCAGACTAAGATCCAAAGCCTCAAAAGTAATTTAGGCACCTGATTGCTATGGAAGTCAATGGGGAAATTAGGTGCTTCAGTTTCTTTGAGATGTCTAAATTCACCCTGAGTCAATTGAATTATGGTCTATCAAGTCTTAAAACTTCTGTGCTATCCCTTAGACCATTGTTTTTCAACCTTTTTTGTATCAGGACCCATTGTCAACATCGATGGCCAGTCCTGACCCAATAAAGAGTTTAAGTAGAAGACAGCCCTCCACCCCTGCTGGTGCTCCTCACCCCTGACCCCCTGCTCCCCACCCCGAAGCCCTAGCCCCCACAGTGTGTGGGACAGCGGTAAGAAATAGCTGACGGGGCGGGGGTTGCATTGGAGGAGGGGAGCCATGCTCTCTCACCTTCTCTTGCCTCCAGCTGTTTGTGCATCCACCAGGCTGCAGCTGTACTCTGCCAACATGGCCCGGCTGCTGCCTGTAACAGGGGCCCTTCCTGGGGCTGGTCCGCCATTGGCCCACCCACCTGTTTCTGGGCCAGCTGCCTGCCTCACTCGTCTGCCATGCCTTGTCATTTCTTAATTGGTTCTAATGAGGTGGGAGGCTGCGCATTCTTGCCCCAATGCCAGGGGGCGCTATCGGTGGCTCTGTTCCTCCCCTGCACTGCAGCCCAAGCCTCGCAGATGGCATTCAGGTGACACAGTGCTTCTGGCCTACAGTCGGACCAAGCTTAGCCATCATTGTCAGGTCTCAGACACATGCATTCATGCTGCCCTCCTCTCACTAGGGCCTCTCACTCTCCACCCCCTCTCACAGTGTCCCTTTCATGCATTGACAACTTATACTGCCTTGCTCCCTCCTGGAGCAGGCCCCTTTGGCCATAGGCTTTATCTAGTGCACACCTTGGGTGGCAGATGTACTGTCTTTGGGGCCTCTCCCGTGACCCTCACTGGGGTAGTGGCCAGCCAATCACCTGACTGGGGCCAAGCTTGCCCTGCCCCTCCCAGGGCAACTGTATACAAACTCACACACACACACAGCCCTCTGGTTTCCCCCTCACTGGGGCTCCACATCCCTACCCCTTCACTTGGGGCCTACCCTTACTGGGGCTCCATATCTTCCACCCCCTTACTGGGGCTATGGGGCTTCCCTCCCCAGTGGAGGCTTAGGTGGTTGTAGCCATGGCTGGCCCCGACTTCTACCCACAGCGATGTGGGGGCTAGGGATTATTGAGGTGCCCCAACCTGCCTTCCACTGGGGTGTTAACTGGTCTGGTATTTTCCTGGATGCTCCTGTGCTACTGGGAGATCCACCAGGCCACCCACTCCTGGCAGGGTTGAGTTTTAGGTCATGCCCAGGACCAAGAGTCTCCTGCTCCTACCTACAGATGTTCTCATACAGCTGCTCAGCCAGGCAATGTTTCTGCCTGGCTTACCAGCAGCAATCTGCTCTGTTTATATAGTGTCTCAAAATGGTGCCCAGCAGTGCCCTGCCACACTGCTACTGCTTCCCTCAAGCCACAGCTGTACCCTGGAGAGGAGGTGGGGTGGCAGGCACTGTCGCGTGTGCCCCTTTCCCTCTTGACACATCATATGTGCCCCCCTTTTCCTCTGCCCCATCACCTTATAGATTTACCTGCAGGGAGCTGCAGGAGTTGCTCTCCACACTGCGTGGCTGCTATGTGCAGTGTTCATGTGGGCGTGCGCAAGTGCACCTGGTGCCCCCTTCCTGATTGCCTTCTTCCTGCTCCCACCAGCCCCAAGCAGCCCCTTGAAGGCTGGAACTCTGCCAACCTGCAAGGGGAAACCTGTAGTTTCCCACAATTTTCTCCTTTAAAGGAAAATCCATTTTTAAAGTGTGTTGATCCATTTTTAAAAGTTTGTTTGCAACCCATTCATATATTCTTGCGTCCCACTTTTGGGTCATGGTCCATGGGTTGAGCAACACTGCCTTAGATCATGCTGCCAATGTTCCTTGGAGAGCAGTTTAGGTGGGGACTCTGGAACAGCTGGCGGGGCTGGTGTGGGTAGAGCTTTGGTTACTTGTTTGAAGTGGGGAGCTGAGAGCATCCATTGCAACATTGCCCCCCCAGCACTCAGGAGGCATAATGCAACAAACTGACACATCTCACCAAAGATTGCAACACAGGCAGCGCACCTCCTTTCCTCCCTGGAAAAGCTGTGCCTCTTAGAAGAAATTACGTGGCCCTATCTGTTTCTAGCATTTCAGTTTGTGAATTTGTTATAATTGTCATAATTTGAACCCAGAATTTTTGAGGGGTAAAGAGGGCTCCAGATAAATGAGGAGTTTCATTATTAGCTGAATTGACTCATTTTCCCAATGCTTCGTGCACATTTTGAAAGGTTTTATTGATCATTTAGGGGTTTTTTCTTTCTAATTTCTAGCTGTGGCTGCAGAAGTGTGTGCCTTCATTTTAATAGAAATGCAATTCTATTGTAATAAACAAAGTCAGGTCCTAAAGAATAATTTGCAATTTGGATCTCTGACTTTGATGGAAGAAGTTTATGTTCTCTTCTGAAAGGAAGGTATTCAAAAGCGTGATATTTCTCATGTACAGGACCGCCATGTAAAAACATGAGAAAGATTGAGTGATGGGAGCTTTTGCTGCAGTTTATAACTTGGCAGTATTCTTTGGCTGCTGCTGTTAAAGATTGTCTTGTAAAGAGGGCTTGTGTGATGCAGGGAGTAGGACTGAAAATAGCCTTGATCTGATTGAATTGGAAATGAAGAGAAATTAAATAATTACAAGGCTCCCACAATTTCTCCTACCCTCAAGCAATATCAAGCTTTAGGCTGTTCAATGGGGAAATGCCAAGTGAGCTGGAAAACTTAAATCTCCCTTCCAGTGACAAAAAGATCTATTGTTGCAAAGCTTCAGTCTTAAGTCAAACTCCTGGAAGTAAAACTAAATAAAAATGCTTGTGTAAGATCAGCCTTGAGATTGCTTATAAAGTCTTCTGCAAATTAAAGAGAAAAAAAATTGTTAAATTTGATCACTGCTGTAGTGTCTTTTCTCTTTTCTTGCAGAGGAGTGCTGAAGTACCAGATTAACATACAGCAACACCCTCCTGGATGCTTTAACCCCAACAAAACACTCCAAGAGACTATTCCAGAGCCAAAGGTTTTTGAAGAGTCTTTTCCTGAGTATGCTACTCAGCCTTTCCCAGAAGGTTTAGCAGAGACAGACTCATTCGTACAAACGAAGTTTGAGAGAATTTGTACCGAGGAACCCAGGTTCCAGTCACACTTCCCAGAGGTCTGTATGATCCGACATTTCAGGTATTACAAGCAATGCCAAGACTTTCAGTCAGCTATAGCCACTAATTGTTGCTTTTCCAGACCAGATGGTTTAATAATGGAAAATATTATTAAAAGCTTTTCAGACATTTGTAGTTTTGGTGGGGAAAAGACAGCGTGTGTTGAAACCTTGGACCACACTCTAGCACGGTGTGCAGCATACGTGGGAAAATTACAGGAGCTGAGAGATTAACTGAAAAACTTCATTTTTGCCATGTCTCCAGGCATCTGCTGGTACTGTTAGACATGTTGCTCCCAATTGTCATACAGAATTTTAGCACAGGTTTATTAATTATTTACTGATATAGATTTGTAGGAACATTTTTACAAGCATTTTGAGACTTCAGCTTAGTTGAAATAATTAAACTCCATTTTATTCTTTTAAGACATGCCTTAAAGTCATAACCAGAGAGACAGGAATCTTTTTATACATCTTACATGCAATTGTTCTTGATTTGGTCATGTCAGCAACTGGGATTCGTTCCATTAGACACCATGTGAAGCTTAACAACGGAGGGTGTCTTAGACCAGGGGTTAGTAACTTTCAGCTCAGTGCCTGGATTTGGCCCATGAAACAGTTGCATCTGGCCCACAGAGCTGGGGCTTCAGTGGCTTCTGGCAGTGAGATCTTTGCTCATGTAGGGCTGCACCATTGCTGAGTGGCGGGAAGCTTACCCATCCTGCACACAGCTATGTGGCAGAGAGAAGCAGTGGTGCCCGGGTCCTCGATCTGTCCTGGATCATACTGGCCCACCATGGGGAAATGCTACTGACTGCTGTTATAGACTGAGACCATTATCTTGCAACAAAATCCTTGTATGTTGGGTCCTATTTGAAGTCAAAGGGGTCATGTGTGTTCAGGGTTTCACTTGTACAGAGTTCTGTGCTGGATCAGGGCATAATTGGTGGTAAAATGTAATGAGGAGATGCAACAGACAATAGGAAAATATTGTAAGGGATTAAAAAGAATCAACAGTTCATAGTGGCCATCTGCCTAGGCTTTGTTAGCTGGCAAGTCCTGTAGGTCTTACGTGGGTTTGAAGGAGAAGAGGATTGGGTGTTACATGTAAGGAAGGAAACACCCCTTCAGCACAGGTCACCTGTCTACAATGTATAAGCAGATGTACAACCAATTGAGAGTGCCATTGTTGGCTGAATTGTAAAACTGATATAGTACCTGCAAAACTGAATAAGTGGGGGTACGGACTTATGAAGAATCTTACTGCATTCACCTTCAAGCTTGAATTTGCTCTAGCAGAGAACAGCAACCAGAGGTTGGATGCAAAGAGAGAAGTGGTGCGGTCAGAGGGATGGTCTGGGAAAGGTGAGTTGACATGATAGATTACGTGGTGAAAGCACCATCAA